TTTCTGATCAGAATTCTCCTTGATGGCCCCTAGGATCAGGAGGAGGATCCACCTCCTCCTCCTTGATCCACCTGATCAAGGAGAAGGAGGTCCTCCTGATGGAGGAATTCTGATCGAGGAGAGGGAGAAGGAGAATTTCTCCCAGGAGGAGGAGAAGGAGTAGGCGAAGGTGAGATCAAGAAGGTGTCGCCTGAGAGCTCTGGCCAGAGGCTGCAAGCTGCGCAACACCTGCACGGAGGAAGGAAGGGCTTCTCTCCCGGCCAGGGGCGGCCGCTGGATACCGCCTTGGGGTCCACAACAACGCCCACCTCGTCGCGGGGCGTTGGATGGCCCAAGAGGGCCCCAAGAGGGCCCCGGATGGCCCCCAAGATCGCACAGTGCAGCCCTGGATGGCTCACGATATCCTCCAGCACGCCTCCAGGAAGCCCCAAGACGGCTCCGGGTGGCCACGGAGCCTCCCGACTGCTCCCCTGCGAGGCCCAGCTCCTTGCAAAACAGACGGAAAACCAATTCATGTTGCCGTCTCGCCTGTTCGCCTCCGATTGGTCCCTGAAGCCTCAAGATGGCTCCAGCAAGAAGTCCAACGATACCTTCCAACGTGCCTCCAAGAAGCCCCCACAACGCCCCAATGACGGCTCGAAGGAGGGAGGTCGTTCCTTTCCCAGCGGAGCTTCCGCCGAACTGCGGGCGCCGTGGGGTGCTCGCCTTTCAGTGGGGGGGCGCCTCGCGCAGCGCACGTGGGGAATCCAGAGACTGGGACTTTGGGGAGGAGACGGTGTGCTGCAGCATCCTTGGAGCACCTCGAGTTTACTCTGGTCTCCTCCTCCTCTCCTCCCCCTCTCGCCCCCCCCCCCTTCTCCCCCTCTCTCCTCCTTCTCCTCCTCCTCCTCTTCCTCCTCCTCCTCCTCCTCCTCCTCCTCCTCCTCCTCCTCCTCCTCCTCCCCTTCCTCCTCCTCCTCCTCCTCCTCCTCCTCATCCTTCCCTTCTCCTCCTCCTCCTCCTCCTCCTCCTCCTCCCTCCTGATTCCTCGCCCCGTTTTCCCTGGAACTCCATGTGGCTACAACTCGCTTATCTCCTCGGAGGCTGTCCAGCGCTGCCGCCGCCTCTCCGGCGTACTGTTTCCACGCACGAGATGCTATCCTCCGACCTCCCGATGCTGTTTCGATCGGAACGTTCTCGGTCCCCCAAACATGATGCTATCGCTGCAGTGTTGGCCGCATTTCATGATCGGCGCTGTCTCCCCGTCGTTCAGAATTGCACTCTCGCCCCAGCGCGGGCCACACAACTCGATCCGATTCCCATCTCGTCGTTGCCACCCCCCCTCCCACCCTCTTCCACCCTCCGGGCCCGAGAAAGGATGAGCGACGTATGAAGATGCGTCATTCGGATGGTGGGTGGGTGGGTGGGTGAAGGGGAGGGCGAGGAGAGGAGGAGAGAAACTGATAGGACGATTTGAATGGACCCGTCGAGAGATGCAGACAACAACAAGCCTCCTGGCCTCAAGCGTGCGACAGGTGCCGCTCGCACTCTGGAACACATCTGCTACGCTACCCAGGAAATGGAGAGGAAAAGGAGGAGGAGGAGGAGGAGGAGGAGGAGGAGGAGGAGGAGGAGGAGGAGGCGGAGGTGGAGGAGGAGGAGGAGGAGGAGGAGGAGGAGGAGGAGGAGGAGAGGGAGGAGGAGGAGAAGGAGGAGAAGGTGGAGGAGGACAAGACGTGACGGCTCAAGCAAGCCAACGTTTGTCCAATGTGAAGGAGGAGACGGGAGGCGGGGGCGGAGGCGGAGGCGGAGGCGGAGGAGGAGGAAAGGAGGAGGAGGAGGAGGAGGAGGAGGAGGAGGAGGAGGAGGAGGAGGAGGAGGAGGAGGAGGAGGAGGAGGATGAGGAGGAGGAGGAGGAGGAGGAGGAGGATGATGAGGATTAGGATGATGATGATGATGAGGAGGAGGAGGAGGAGAAGGAGGAGGATAAGGAGGAGTGAGGTGCACGAGGATGTGTGAGAGAGAGAGGGAGAGAGGAGCAGGAGTAAAGGGATGAGAATTAGGATGAGGAGGAGCAGCAGGAGAAGTGAGAGAAGAGCGCGGCAGGGCCAGGCCCCGCCGGGCCCCGTGGGGAGCGCCAGGGACGCGCGAGGACCCGCGCGCGCTCTCGAGGCACGCCCGAAGGAGCTGCTCTCGCGGGGTGCCCCGGAGGGAGGAGGCCCGCTCCTGCGGGGGTTGCCCCAGCGGGCGAGGGGCGGGGCGGGGGGGGGGGAAACGGCCAGGGTTGGCGGCGAGCGAGGGGGGGAAGTGAGAAGGGGCCGAGGGGGCTTCTGAGAAGTTCCGCCGCCTTCTGAGAAGGCCTTCTCCTTCTCACTCCCCCCCTCGCCCGCCGCCGACAAAGGGGGATCGGCTCGGGGAAGGGGGGGGGGAACATCGAGCTCGAGCCGGCGATGTATATCGCCGACGGATCGGCGATGGGACCCGAGCGAAACTGCACAATCCTTGGCGGGGTGGGCCATCAGGCCCCCATCATCGGCGATCGATGGGCGACTGAGGGTCGATGCCCCCCCCCCGCCTGAGAGCATATACCCTCCTCCCTGAGGGTGCTCGGCAGGAGGAGTCCAGGGGGCTGCATCACAGGAGATGACAGGAGGGTGCGAGTAGAAGGAGAGGGAGGAGGACGAGGAGAAGGAGGAGGAGGAGGAGGCGGAGGAGGCGGATGAGGAGGATGATGATGAGGAGGAGGAGGAAAAGGAGGAGGAGGAGGAGGAGGAGGGGGAGGAGGAGGGGGAGGAGGAGACGGAGGCGGGAGGAGGAGGAGGAGGAGGAGGAGGAGAGAAGGAGGAGGAGGAGGAGGAGGAAAATGAGGATGAGGACGAGGAGGAGGAGGAGGAGGAGGAGGAGGAGGAGGAGGGGGAGGGAGGAGGAGGAGGACGAGAGGAGGAGGAGGAGGAGGAGGAGGGGGGGAGGAGAGGAGGAGGAGGAGAGGAGGAGGAGGAGGAGGAGAAGGATGAGGAGGAGGAGGGAGGAGGAAGGAGGAGGAGAAGGAGGAGGAGGAGGACGAGGAGGAGGAGGAGGACGAGGAGGAGGAGGAAGAGGACGAGGAGGAGGAGGAGGAGGAGGAGGAGGAGAACAAAGAGGATGAGGATGAGGAGGAGAAGGAGGAGAAGGAGGAAGAGGAGGAGGAGGAGGAGGCGGAGAATGAGGAGGAGGAGAATAGGAGGGAGGAGGAGGAGGAGGCGGAGGAGGAGGAGGAGGAGCAGGAGAAGGGCCAGTGTAAACCCAAGAATCATCAACGATGCTGGAATTAACCCTCCCTCCAAACTCCCTCTTCATAGGCCCCTACAACGGTTCATTATCATTGAAGGAATTGCCTCGTTGGAAGACAACCGTTTGAGGACACTGAGACATGCCAAAACACTGTTCTCGGGATTTCAACGCCACGTGTCAGTCTGACTGCTGCGTTCTGGCGATCCAGAATCGTTCCATAACGCCATTTTTGGATCCCAACACCGCGAATCAACATACTTGTTGTACCCACATGCATCATGAATCCTTCCCAACACACCATCTGTGGTACGTTGATCATGGGAACCAATAAAACTCTTGCAAAGTTTCAAAACGAATGTGCGCGGCGCTAAAGCGATACTCACATTTTGAAAAAGAGACGCCCTCAATCCGTGAAGCTCTTGCTATTTTTCCCTACCTAGGCTCTGCCTAGAAGGGTTCTTACTCTCTTAGCTTAAAGGGGCCGGGCAATGGAAAGCGCCCCGGGCGGTTCCCCCGGTCCCCGCCCCGCGGTTCCCCCCATTCCCCTGGGAGCTTTAGCTTTAGCTTTAGCTTTAGCTTTAGCTTTAGCTTAGCTTTAGCTTTAGCTTAGCTGTAGCTTAGCTTTAGCTTAGCGTTTCGCTTAGCCTTTCGCTTAGCCTTTAGCTTAGCTTTAGCTTAGCTTTAGCTTAGCTGTAGCTTAGCTTTAGCTTAGCTTTAGCTTAGCTTTAGCTTAGCTGTAGCTTAGCTTAAGCTTAGCTGTTGCTCAGCTTTAGCTTAGCTTTAGCTTAGCGTTACTGTTACTACTAATGCTGCTTTCCTAGGGGTTCCAACTCCTAGGTAGGGTCGCACTGGGATAATCTAAAGAGAATATGCGCGGCGCTAAAGCGAGACTCACATTTTGAAAAGGAGCCGCCCTCAATACGTGAAGTTCTTGCAAGGTTTTAAACGAATGTGCGCGGCGCGGAGGCGAGAGCCACATTTTGAAAACGACCTTCCCTCAATCTGTGAAGCTCTTGCAAATCTTGAAAACGAATGTGCGCGGCGCTAAAGCGATAACCACATTTTGAAAACCACTCGCCCCAATCCGTCAAACTCTTGCAATTTTTGAAAACGAATGTGTGTGGCGCTAAAACGAGAACCACATTTTGAAAACCACCCGCCCCAATCCGTCAAACTCTTGCAAATTTTGAAGGCGAATGTGTGTGGTGCTAAGGCGGGAGCCACATTTTGAAAACCGCCCGCCCTCAATCCGTGAAACCCTGGCAAATTTTGGAAACGAATGTGCGCGGCGCTAAGGCGAGAGCCACATTTTGAAAACGACCCGCCCTCCATCTGTGAAGCTGTTCACTTTTTAAGCTTCAGAGTCACACATGGTGAGGAAGTCTCAGGCGAAACGCCCGGCCCGCCCTGAAAACTGGCCTCGAGGTGCGACAGGGGGGAGTTATCTGTAAGGAGAAGGAATGTATGAGGAGGATGAGGAGGAGGATGAGGAGGAGGAGAGGAGGGGGAGGAGCAGGAGGAGCAAGAGGAGCAGGCGGATCAGGAGGAGCAGGAGGAGGAGGAGGAGGAGGAGGAGGAGGAGGAGGAATTGGAGAAGAGGAGTACGACGAGAGCGATCAGGAGCAGGAGGAGAAGTAACAGGAGGAGGAAGAGGATGAGGACGAGGACGAGCAGGAGGAGGAGAAGGAGGAGGAGGAATAGGAGGAGGAGGATGAGTAACACCGAAAGCAATGCTTTTCGGCGACCTCATCGGGTCGGCGCCCCGCGCCCGATGCAGCTCGGCTCCCCCTGGAGCTCCCCCAGTGGCCCGACGCAGCCTCTGGCGCGGCGGCGATCAACCTAAGAAGCGTTTCGAAGCTTCCTCCCTCTCCTCCTCCTCTTCCTCCTCCACCTCCTGCTCCTCCTCCTCCCCTTCCGCGTCCTCCTCCTGCTTCTGCTCCTGCTCCTGGTCCTCCTCCTCCATCCCTTTTCCGTGTAACTAACTCCTCCCAGTCGCACCTCGAGGCGTGTCGGTGCGTTTCGCCTGAGTTTCCCTCAGCATTTATGATCCATGAGCCTAGAAATGGTAAGAATTTCACGGATGGAGGGCGGGCCGTTTTCATAACGTAGCTCTCGCCTGAAAGCCGCGCACATTCGTTTTCAAACTTGCAAGGGTTTCACGGATGGAGGGCGGGTCGTATTCATAATGTGGCTCTCGCCTGAGCGTTGCGCACACTCGTCTGAAACGTTTGCAAGGGTTTCACGGACGGATGGCGGGCCGTTTTCATAATGTGGCTCTCGCCGTAGCGCCGCGCACATTGGTCTTAAACCTTTGCAAGAGTTTCACGGGTGGGAGGCGATACCTTTTCAACATGTGGCTCTCGCCGTTGTGCCGCCCACACTCGTGATACAAAAATTACAAAAATTGAGGGGTTCTCATGGTTGACATCCTAGAACTGGTGTTGTGGCATGATGTAGGACTGTCAGGGCGCATCAGTTACGTTGATTTCTGGTGTTTAAGTCTCAGGAATGGTGTTATGACACGATCCAGGATCGTCAGGACGTAACAATAATATCGATTCCTGGCGTAAGGGTCCCAAGGATGGTGTTCTGGGGCGGTTCAGGGGGCACTTCCCTCATTGAACATAAACCCTCCTAGGGTTGTGGATGCCACGACAATGGACACCCTAACAGTCCTATCATTGAATTTAAACTGTGTTTTAAATGTCGGAAAATGTTCTAAGCATGTTGTAAACATGTTTTTAATGTTTGAAGCATGTTTAACACATGCTTTATACATCTGGAATGTATTTGGCAACATTGTTCCTCTCCATTGATCGTCCTCCACAATCCGAGGGACCTGTGAAGAGGGAACTTGGAGGGAGGGTTTATTGCAACATCGTTGAGGAATCTTGGGTTTGGGTTTGCACTGGTCCTCCTCCTCCTCCTCCTGCTCCATATCCTCCTCTATTACCCCTTCCGCGTCCTGCTACTGCTTCTCCTCCTCCTGCTACTCCACCTGCTCTCTTTCGCACGGCGTGCGTAAACGCAGAACGTCCCAAACCTTCCTCCCCTACCTCCTTGCCCTCCTCCCGCCTCTTCCCTCCTCCCTCCTCCCTCCTCCCTCCTCCTCCTCCTCCTCCTCCTCCTCTTCCTCCTCTTCCTCCTCCTCGTTCTCCTCTTTTCCTCCTCCTCCTCCTCTTCTTCCTCCCTGTCTCAGACTTGGCAACAATGCCGCTGCTCGATCGCCGACCACGCCGGAGCCAGGCGCCGCGAGCGGCCGTCAGAGCCCGCGCGCTGGCACGCTGGAGGTCACCGCGGCGGCGGCGGCGGCGCCTCCCGGGCCGACAGCGAGGCCTGCCGGCGGCCGCAGCGCAGCGGGCGCCCGCGGCGGAGGCGCGCACGCGGCGCCCCCCGGGCCCGCCGCGTGCTGCGCCGCCCGCTGCGCGGCGGAGGGCCGGCGCGGCGGCATGCCGGAGGCCACCGCGGCGGCGGGGGCCCGCGCGGGGCCGCCGGCGGGGCCCTCGGGCCGCCGCGCGACGGGCGCTCGGCCGGCGCACGCGGCGCCGCCCAGGCCCGCAGCCTGCTCCGAGAGCAGCTCGTCGTCCCACTTGAAGAAGTCGCAGGTGGAGTACTCCCCAGGCCGCGCCCGCGGGCTGTTGCACGCCCAGAAGTAGCGCCCGCGGTGGCGGGACGACTCCTTCAGGACGGGCTTCAGGCGCGCCTTGCGCCCGCAATGGCACAGCGGCCGCCGGCGGGCCACGGAGAATACCGTCTTGCGGAACGTGAAATTGAGGCGCGCTGGGCCAGCGATGGGGTGGGCGGACAGCCCCTTGTCCTTCGGCACCTCGTGGCGCCAGAATTCTTGGAAGCCCTCCCAACAGATCAGGAGGCTGTTGTGTGGGAGCCGGATGCTGTACGATGTAACTCGGCCACCGCCAGGGCCCTTCGCGCGCACCGTGCCGACCGGCTTCATTCGGAACTGCCGCGCAGCCCCGAGTGTGAAGGAGCCGACGATCGCCCACGGGCCTATCGACTCGACAGGATCGCTGTGGGCACCCAGGAAGTCGCCTGCGTCGACGTAGAGGTTGCCGACCGCGTAGTTGGGCTCCCAGCGGTGCCCCTGTCGGCTACACGTAAGAGTGACCGTAGGCAAGAGTGACCTTCGGTGCGCGGCTTTCGGGGGGCCGCGGGGGGGCCATCCCCAAGCGCACAAGGCGCTACTATAGTATCGCCTTCGGCGATCGGGAGACCACAGTGGGCCCGCACCAAAGGTCAATCCAGCGAAGGGTCACTCTTACGTGGAATCGATCCTTCTCGCGGAGAGTCTCGTGAGCGTACCGCACGAGCCACTCGGCGCTCTCGGCGCAGAGGCGCTGCCCGCGGCTGGCCAGCTTCACGGTCTCCTGCGCCAGCTCGCTCGCGCTGAGCGGCCGTAAGCCCTCCACGGGCCTCTCCACGCCCTGGCCCGCAGCTTGTCCCGCCGTGGCGACTGCCGCGGAGGCTCCTGCAGGGTAACCCTGCCTCGGCCGCCAAGCCTCACGCAGCAGGGCACGCTCCCGCTGAGTCGCGCGGGCGATCACGGCGCGGAGGTGACGCAGGTCGTCGCCGAAGCCTGCTGCCTCCCAACGTCGGCTGAACCCCTGCTTCCCGCCACGCTCAAAGCCGAAGCCAGACTGCAAGCGGTGACTCTCGATCTCCTTGTCGTACAACCAGCGCTTCGAAGTGTGCCAGCTCCGCGCCTCATCCATGAAGACCCGGAGGAGGTGGTCTGCGAACGCTATGGGCAGCAAGGATGGCACAAAGGACACAGGCACGGCCTCCTGCAGCTCTTCCATGCTCGTGGGAGTGGTCACTGAGCCCCTAGAGCCATGGGCTCCCGCAACGGTGACGAACGCCTCCACGACAATGCTCGACCCTCCCGCGGAAGCAGCGACGGGCAGCCCCTCCTGCTGGGCGGCCCCGAAGCTGAAGCCGCGAACTGGCTCCCTGCCCTGGCGCCGCCCGCTGCTGCCCGCCTGCGGCGCTGGCGGTCCCCCAGCCGTGCGCGCGCACGCCACCGCCGCGCCAGCCTGGGGCCCGCAGGGGGCACACCCGCAGGCGGTCGCCAGGGCCACCTCGCTGGGTAGCTCCGCATCGTCGGCACGGGCGCGCGGAGCACAATTCTCCTTGCCCCTCCCCGCGGCGCCGCCGCCCCCGCGCCCGCGCCCGCGGCCTGGCCGCAGCACCTGCCAGGCGGCGGCGGGCAGCCCGCCACGCCGGGTGGCGCCGAGCAGGCTCAGCACGGACGGCAGCGCCCCCTCTGGCCCGGGCCCGCCGCGCGCGAAGGCGCAGGGGCCGCCTTCGCCCTCCAGGCCGAGGCACGCTGGCGCGGCCGGCGCCCGCGCGCCCTCGCCGCTGCCGCCCAGCGCGGCCGCGGCGCTGCCGCCGGGCACCTGCGCGCGGGCCGCAGCCGCGCCGCCGCTGGCTGGAGCAATGGCGCCAGCCGCGGCTGCGCCGATGCTGGGCGACTCGTCGCCGCTGGAGAGCACCTCGAGCGCCACGGCGTGCGCCGCGCCGCCGCGGGAGCGCCGGGGCGAGCGCGAGCGGGCGGACTCCGAGTCCGAGCTCACGGCGAGCGCCGCCTGCTCCGAGAGGCCCGCGCGCCACAGCCCGCTGGCACCATCGCGACGGGCCCTGCACGGTTGCATGGAGCGCGCAAGCGGGCACCACTGAAGCCGAAGTGATTGTCGACAGGGGCGGGAGCGGGAGGAGGAGTAGGAGGAGGTGGATGATGATGATGATGATGATGATGATGATGATGATGATGATGATGATGATGATGATGATGATGATGATGATGGTGGTGGTGGTGATGATGATGGTGATGATGATGACGATGATGACGACGATGATGATGACGATGATGATGACAATACTGACGATGATGATGCTGCTTCTGGCGATGCTGATGAGGACGATTACGATGTTGCTGCTGATGATGATGATGACGATGCCGATGTCGATGATGATGACGCTGGTGCTGATGATACTGATGATGCTGATGATGATAATGTTGATGATGAGGACGACGATGATTCTGCTGCTGATGATGACGATGGTGACAATGATGAGGATGCGGATGATGATGCCGCTGCTGCTGATGAAGATGCTGATGATGCTGATGCTGCTGATGATGACGACGACGATGTTGATGATGATGCTGATGCTGCTCCTGCTGATGATGTTGACTTTGATGGTGATGCGGGGGATGGTGCGGAGGAACAGGAGGGAAGAAGAAATTGAACAGATAGTTGGGCGGTGGTAGTGGAGGTGGTTGTAGCCGTGTCCGCAGCCGAGTTGCGGTCACGTCGCACAGGCTGCGGCCAGGCTTCGCCCAAGTGATCCCTGCTAGCAACTTGCGAAATTCGGAGCAGGGCAGCTGTGCAACTCGCCCCTGCCCTCGGCCTGCCTGCTCCTCGTCCGTTCCTTCTCCTTCGAATTAGCTCCGCCCTGTCGCGCCCCGAGGCCAATCGGAAGGGCGGGATGGGCGTTTCGCCTGAGACTTCCTTGCAACCTAGGATCGCGAAGCTTGAAAGTTAGCAACCGATCGACGGGCTGTTTTCAAGAAATGGCTCTCGCCTTAGCGCCGCGTGCATCCGTGTAGACAATTCCAACAGTTTTTTACGGATTGAGGGTGATTCCTCTTCACAATGCGGCTCTCGCCGTAGCGCCGCGCACATTGGTCTTAAACATTTGCATGAGTTTCACGAACTCCCATGGTTACGTACAAGAAACGGTGTTTTGGCGTGATTCAGGATTGCCAGGGCGCAACGGTCAAATTGATTCGCGGCGTTGGAGTCCCACGAAGGGTGTTCTGGCACAGTTCGGGATCGCCAAGACGCAACGGTCAAGCTGATTTGTGGCGTTGGAACCCCAAGAATGGTGTCTTGTTACGCTTCATAATCTTCAAACGATGGCCTGCTAACGGGGCAGTTCCGTCAGTGGAAACGGATCCATATAGGGGCCTGTGAAGAGGGAACTTGGAGGGAGGGTGTATTCCAACATCGTTGATGCGTCTTGGGCTTGCACTGGTCTTCCTCCTCCTCCTCCTCTCCCTTCTCCTCCCCCTCCTCGTGCCTTTCTCCCCGCCTCCTACCCTTTCCTTCTCCTGTCCCCTCCTTCTGCCCTTCACTCCTGGCACTTTCCTACCCTCCCCCTTAGGTGTCCTCCTCCTCCTTCTCCCTCTCCTCCTTTTCTTCCTCCTCTCCCTTCCTCCGTAGCCGTTTTGGCTCAGGATGCTGGCTTCCTCGGGAGTGAAGCAACTACGCTGTTCCGTGGCTATCCATCCACCGTTTCAAGGGCCCCTCAGCGTCGGGAAGTGCAGCAGCTCCGGCCAGGGTCCTCTGGCGACTGGGCGGCTCGGCGAGCCCTGCTTACCTGTCTCTTCGGGATGGCTCCACTCTCGCAGAAATTGCACTGTAAGTCCTGTCTCCAGCCGGAGTCGGGCAAGTCGCTCCTCAGTTTCGCGGAGAACAGGAAACGCTTCAGCTGCGGATTGGTGCGCTTCGGGACAAATCAGGCCCCGCCCTCTCCCTCGAAGCGTCCGCTGCCGTGGCAGCAGCATTTTCCTCCTCGCTCTTCAGCTTGGGACATGCCCCCTCCCTCCCGAGGCATGCGCACACGTGGCCAACTATCAGTCCAAGATCAAGAAGATTGAGGCGGAACTTGAGAAGACAGAGCGTCAACCCTGTCAGTTTCCGAATGCTGGGATATCCGTCTTGGGTGTGAAGTTATCTCGGTTCAGGACCGCTTGGACACTCTTGAAAGGGACTTCGTCGCCATGGAGTCTCTCGACGGGGGTCTCTGGGACAAGCTCAGAGCGGGACTCAGGAGTGAGATCATGCAGACTGAACCAAAGCAGCTCGGTAGTTTGCCTGCGGCTCGGCGTTTTTGCTCTACAGTCAACCCGTACAGTAAGGATACGCGGTAAGGATGCAAGGGCCTTGGACGCCCATGCCGAGGCTCTTCGAGCGGGGCTGGCCTTCGAAAGTGGTTGAGGATGGGTTGAAGATGACCGAAGAGGCAAGGACGCAAGGGTACACTTGGGAAGTCGCTCATCCTTACTGTGCGGGTTGACTGCGTCCTGCGTCAGGTCGACGAAGGTGAACAGCAGTTGGTCAATGCCAGAAACTTTGATGAGCCATGCAGGAGGCGATTGCGTGAGGCCGAGGCGGCCTTGCAGAAGTCGGGGGCTAGAGTTGCAGAGCACGAACACCTGCAGGCTCGGCTCAAATCGCAGCAGGCAGCGCTGGCGGCTCAGGGTGTGTCGCTTTCGTCCCAGCTCCCTCCAGCCGCGCCCGCGCCCATCCTGCAGCTGGATACCGACAAGGTCAAGAGGTTCTTGGGTCAGAGCCTCGACGAGCTCGGGGCGCAAGTGGTGCCCGACCCCGCGCCGCTTGCCACCAAGCTTTGCGAGGCGGCGCCCCAGTGTTCGTCGCAACCGTGGGTGCGGAGTGAAGCGCCAGTGGGTCGGGTGTAGGCGTCAGGTGCCTCGGTGGCAGCGGATGGCTTTGGGCGCGGCGGCCCCGCCAGCGGTCCCAGGGCCGGACATCGTGCAGATGCGCGCGGGGATCTCGGCGGGCGCCGTCTCCCCGCCAGACGACGAGTCCAGCGTTCGTGCTCTCCATGCTCAGTTGCGGCAGGCCCTCGGCACGCCGCTCGGAGGCCAAGCGGTGGGCTGCGCCCTGCCTGGTTGTTGTGTGCTGTCTTTCCCGATCATGGCAGTGCTCCCTCTCATGTGCACCAGCGACTGGGCGAAGTTGGGCGCCCAGCGGCCAGGCCACGGACGTTGTGCGGTGGATCCTCAGGATATGGGCTCGTCTCCACCTGACGTCCTCCCACCAGCGGCACCCGATCCTGATACGGAGCGCATGCTGCTGGAAGATGACCTCGGTGATTGGGCTGCTCGATGGATTTGGGCTGCTCGATGGATCTGGGACGTTGATGGGGAAAGGCAGGTGGATCAGGACTCTTGGCAGGACTGGTGCGAGGCCTTTCCCACGGCGTTCCTGAACGAAGAAGGCCACCGGGCGTTGAGAGCTGCTGTCCTCACTCATCATGCGCCTCCTGGAGGGAGACTGGCTGATGCAGTGTCTGACGTCGGCCGTGTGGCGTGGCAGCGAGGCGGCCCGCGCTGTCGGGGTTCATCGAGTACATGCAGTCGCTCACTCTTGACCTGTGGAATACCTTCTCTGGCCACCATTGGGCCATGTTGCCCGACCTTGTTGCCGGCCTTCGCGAAGTATTGAGGGGGGAGAGGGTCTCAGCCGCTATCGAGTGGGTGTTCAGCTTGGCCAGGGAGTTCGCCGCCCTTTATCATGGTGCGGGCCAGCAATATTGAGCTGCAATGTGCTAGGGACGCGGTGCGGTACGTGGCCTGGGCGGCGGAGCGGGTACTGCGGCTGACTGTTGGCGGCTCGGCCAAGGTCGCCTGGAGCCCGTGACCGCCAAGATGCGCATTCAAAAGCCCGTGGCGATGCGATGATCATCAAGTGCATGACCTCCGTCCGGTACGCGGCCACGACCCTGCCCTACCAGAAGGGGCTCTTCCACTCGAAGTGCTGCCCACCGCTGGTGGGGCAAGCCCACGTGGTCGTGCGGGTGGGCTTTACCTGCTTCTGCGCCATCTGGGGCGCCTGGAGCTTGGAGTCGAATCGAATCTCCGAGAAATTCCAGCGGTGCCTTGGTCAAGCCGCCAACCCGAACTCCCAGCGGAAGGTGCTCGACATCATGAAGCAGCTCCGGCGCGGGGTCCACCCGTTGACCAAGGTGCCCCTCGAGCGTGGCCGCCCTCTGCCCGCCAGCGCCCTGTCCTGCAGCGGGTCGGCAGGAGATCCGAGGACCCCGAGAACTGGCCTGCCGGGATGCTGATCGTGTACTTGTCCTCGGCCTCCTCCTCCTCCTCCTCCTCCTCCTCCTCCTGGCCGTGTACTGCGGCTTCCTGCTGCTGCTCGTGGGCCTCGTTGCGGCCAGGCCAGCGGTCCGGCCCGCCCAGGAGTGCTGGCTTGCGGTTGCCGCGAGTTCCCGTGGGGGCCAAGGCTCTGAGGGCTTCGTGGGGGCACACTGCGCTGCTCGGCTGAGTGGACCAGCGGCGCCCAGCCCCGCCGCCCGCGGCGGGCGTAGCGAGCGGCCGCACCGAGTCGGGCGGCCGTTTCGGCTGGCGTCACCCTCCCCTTCCTCCTCCTCCTCCTCCTCCTCCTCCTCCTCTTCCTCCTCCTCCTTCCGCCCCTACTCTCTAAAGCGGGGGGAGCAAGGGTGTCGGAACAAAAACAAGTGCCCCCGGATCGAAGACGAGTGGTTCGGGGTCTCATGCCCTAAACGAATCGAGCCACCGGGTGTCAGTGATGAAGCGTGTACAGCCCGAAGAGGAGGAGGATGAGAATCTGGAAGAGGAGATGAGGGGCAACGCTAGGGGGTACCAGCTCACTGGGGGATACATTGAAGTGGAATCGGCGATACATCGCCGGTAGATCATCGGAGATAAGACCTCGAGGGTAAATCCACACGTTCCTGGGCGGGGTGGGCAATCCGGCCCGTCTGGGCGATCAGCGATTGGTGGTCGCTGCATCCCCCCTCCTGAGCGTATCCCCCCCCCCCCCCCCCCTAACGTTGCCCCTGCGAAGTTCGGCACTGCCGCGGGGGGCCGGTCCGAATACTTCGAGGCGCGCT